TCTATCCGTGACACGCTCGCAGATCGTGGCAGGAGTGGCACTTTCTCGACACCACAGGGGGTGCGCAGAGGGTGGTCCCTCAGCGCGGCCTCTATCCGTGACACGCTCGCAGATCGTGGCAGGAGTGGCACTGTCTCGACACCACAGGGGGTGCGCAGGGGTGGTGGTCCCTCAGCGCGGCCTGTATCCGTGACACGCTCGCAGATCGTGGCATGAGTGGCACTTGCTCGACACCACAGGGGGTGCGCAGAGGGTGGTCCCTCAGCGCGGCCTCTATCCGTGACACGCTCGCAGATCTTGGCAGGAGTGGCACTTTCTCGACACCACAGGGGGTGCGCAGAGGGTGGTCCCTCAGCGCGGCCTCTATCCGTGACACGCTCGCAGATCGTGGCAGGAGTGGCACTTTCTCGACACCACAGGAGGTGCGCAGAGGGTGGTCCCTCAGCGCGGCCGCTATGCACGACGGTCGTCCAGGGCATAGCAGGCGTGGCACTTTCTCGACACCATAGAGGCTGCGCAGGGGGTGGTCCCTCACCGCGGCTGCTATGCACGACGGTCGTCCAGGGCATAGCAGGCGCGGCATTTTCTCGACACCATAGAGGCTGCGCAGGGGGTGGTCCCTCACCGCGGCCGCTGGCTGGCTCGAATCTGTCCTCGACGGAGGATAGAAGGCTAGGAAGAGGGAGGAGGTTCAAGCAATATGGCGTTGGATGACACATAGGGGAACATTCGCGACGAGGGCTGAGAACGCAGAATTGCACATATATTATAAACTTAAGCAAACACTCAATATTTAAGTTAAGTATGTGGGGTTCCTCGGAAGCGTAATTTGGGGGGTAATTTCTAAGACATGCTTAGTTTTGCATCGTAGTGGTAGATTGGACAGCCCTGTCGACTCCGCAGGTAAATACCTCGCTCGACAGTGGCTCTCTATTCGTCTCGAGCCAGCGATGGTCTGGTGAGTTTATCAAACTTAGCCAGTGTGTTCGCTACCTGTCCGCGCAAAAGAGATCGTTGGCTTGGAAAGGGTGGCTGGGCAGGCGTTGTTCTCCACCTTCGCGCGCTCGACCCTCGGCTTGTCTCGCGCACACGCGGCACCGCACGCGCCCCGCAGACAGCCCCGCGGCACCGCACGCGGCTCCCGCCCCATGTGTCATCCGCCTCGACGATCTCGAAGATAGCCCCGGAACGCATCGCCAAGAGTCAAATGTGGTCAAGATCGGCGCGTGGATTCCCAGAGGTCAGAGGTCCGATGTTTTGTTTTTTCCACGCGAGGTCCCTAGAAGTCTTGGCCCGTTCCCGGGGTTTGTTGACAGTCCCGGGGCCGGGCGTTCGGTGGCAAGTCATTGGAACCTCGCATACCCTCGCAATTCCATCTTGAGCGTTAAGTCGGGCCTGTCCCCCTGCAGGAGGAATATTCAAAAAGAGTGGGGACGTCTTTTTTTTAAAAGCATTTTTTGACCACTTGGGAGCATTGTTTGAATCTGTTTTGTTTTCCGTCCCAAATGCCCCTGTAGGGGGACCTGCCCGACCCAACTTTAGAGTCGATTAGCGTCGATTAGAGTCTGGGAGTCGATGAGACACCGCCGGTTCAGCGTCGGTTTGCTTCGACCCGCTCCGTTTTAGCGCCGATTCGCGTCGACCAGCGTCCCTCAGCGTCGATGCGCAAGAGCCGACAAGATGATATGGGAGGCTCCCGTGAGTTGCCGCCGAACCGGCGATGGCCTCTGGAGGGGAGGCCGACAGCTGCGAACAGCCGCCGCCTCGATTTTTCCAGCACGTTGGATCTCCAAGCAGGAGGAGGAGGAGGCGGAGGAGGAGGAGGAGGAGGAGGAGGAGGAGGAGGAGAAGCACCTCTGGGGCTCAAGGCCGGGGCGAGCGCGGTGCGCTCCCCCCGCACAGCGCTGGCCTTCTGCGTGCCGAAGACGACAGCACTCTCGGGCGGGTGGCAATGGGGGGTGACCCAGATGGGGGGTGAAGGAAAAGGCCCCAATAGGACCCTTTCGGGCCCCTTTTGAGCATCAGCTGGCTCTAAAGGGGGCCCTACAGGGTGACTATGATGATGATGATGATGATGATGATGATGATGATGATGATGATGATGATGATGATGATGATGATGATGATGATGATGATGAGGACGATGATGATGATGATGATGATGATGATGAGAATCATGATCATAATCATGATCATGATCATAATCATGATGATTATGATGATTGTGATGATGATGATGATGATGGTGATGGTGATGCTGATGATGTGATGATGATGATGATGGTGGTGGTGATGACGATGATGAGGGTGATGGTGATGATGACGATGATGGCGATGGTTACGATGACGACGACGATGATAATGATGATGAGGACGATGATGATGGTGATCATGCTGATGGTAATGATGAGGTCACGATGATGATGCTGATGATGATGCTGATGCTGATGATGATGTGGTGGTGATGATGGTTATGATGCTGGTGAGGGGGGTATTGATG